CTCACATATCCAATGCCTCGGATGGGCTTGAAGCTCAGATCCACAAGCAACCGTCGCTGCGGATTGCATTGTTCGTCTTATTTGATCCCGTTGTTCATCTACACTACCACACCTTAATGCTTTCAGCTCTTGTCCTAGTTCTGATTTAAAACGGACACGAACTGCTGGGCCAGATAAATGGTTATCTGCCAATCGAGTTTGGTGGGGTTTTCTGCAACCAGTGAGTTGGAGAGTGAACTGCATCAACACTAATGCATGATTAGATTCAACGCAGGTGGTCCAATAGGACCTGCAGTTTTGTACTGCGCCACGGTAACGGTAGCTGACTGCTATGTGGTCGATCTGAGTTAGCATTCCAGTTGAATTGGAGCACCACGTTGCTGTCCGTTGGGAGTTGTGTCAGAAGTTGGTACAGGATAGGAATAGATAATAATCTGCACAGAACTGAAGAATTCGATCGCCGTTATCTGTTCGTTGGCTGGGCAGAGCACAACGACCGCGTAGACAAGCTTCCGATGTGCTCAGTTTTCCAACTTGTGCGTTTAAATCACCTGCGAGAACAATTATATCGGAGCTTCGGTTCAACCGAATGAGATCGATGAGTTCACCATAAAACTTGTCCTTTTGTGCATTACGCTGAAATGATGGACAAACACCTTTTGGTGTTACTTCCCTTACGGACGCTGATAGACCGTTGGAGCTGCATTACACAGGCGACTGTTGACACGAGTAGAGCACCTTCCGTTGAATTATTGAGTACATTGCCCACGCCACACTGGCCTACTGAACGGGCTTCGTCATCACCCGACGTACGGAAGAAGTGGGTGTTCCACAACTTGACAGTTCCGGGAAAAAAGATTACAGCAGAGAAGTACAACATCTGGGAACCGAAATCTGATAAGGATGACTAAATGCCTGTGTACGAGATGAGCGGGTAAAAGTTGCAGAGAGAAACTGCCGAGGCAAGTTCCGAAGAACAAACACCAAAGCAGTAACGGTAGATCAGGGACAATGAAGCAACTGCTCGACGGTGAGCTAGTGACTGCAGACTGGATGTTGGAGAAGGACCATCGACCAGCCGGATGGTCTTTCGTTGAACAAGAAGAGCAGGACTGCAGTATTCAAGAACAGGTCGGATTTGGGCTTTGTACAGTAAAGGAAAATGACCTGGGGTCAAAAAGCCTCTGGAGCGAAACAAAAGAAAACGTACTTGCGCGTAGCACGCGAAGCAAGCTGAGCTGTAAAAGGGGACGAGCATAAAGTTACAGGCAATGCAAGAAGGGACACAGTTTGTGGAATGCAGTTGAGTGGAATTAAAAGATAAATGGCAGAGAATGAATGGTGTTTTAGATAAATTGAAAGAAGAGAGGTTTTAGAAGCATTGAATGAAACATGGTTGACATTGCCCCTGGAAGAGATGTGTTCAAGATCGGAGTCCAGTGACACATTAACTGCACTACGATCACAGTTGATGTTGATTTCGGCATGGTGAGTAATGCGGTCGAGGATGGCGTAATCAGCAAGAGAATAGATCGAGTTGACAGTCCTGGAAATGAGATCGTTTTTAAATAGAACAGAGTGGGCGCAAGTACAGAACCTTAAGGAACACGAACATTCACATAAAACGGCTGAGACAAAACCCTATCAACTCAGACGGAGAAGGTCCGCTTACTGGAGGGAACCCGACCATGGGTAGTATCGTCAGTAGACATTCGTGCCAAACTCGGTCAAAGGCCTTTGGGATGTCAGGCGAGATCAAGTGTGCAGCTGACTAGGATTGTAAGCCAAGACCCAGGTTTGAAAAAGTGCAGAATAAAAAGATGTATACTTTAAAAAGTAACATCAGTGAATTTGAAAACGTCCGAAGAGAATGAATAATCGTTCAAGGGATAAGAAGTTAGGAAATCACGGAAACCGTCCCAGTTGGTAAAGTTGTAGCGCCAGAGTGTATATCAAGATGGGTGACGAATCGGGTCTTGTACCGAAACAATGCAGTGATCAGATGAGCCAAGAGTAGGGAGAGTGCAAATACCTGAGAAGAACGAAGGGGGTCGAAGTGAAAATTAGATCAAGGGTGTGAAGACGATCGCCAGCTCGATCAGGGACACCGGTGTGGGGTCCAACTTGTTGGCTCAGGTTGTTGACCGAAATGTTCCACTACGCTCCCTAAAGATAAAGTAGATGAATGTGTCAACCAATCTTGATTATGAACGTCAAAATCTCCCCAGATGGTAGCATGGCATTTGGGGTCAGATGCAAATAAGTGATGAACGTTCGAAAAAGAAGAATCATTTTGGTAAATGTCAATCGAGCCCTCTGTCGAGTAGGAGATACTTATCGGCTGGAGGTTTTTGACAATCGAAAAGTATGCAGTGCCCAAAAGTCCTAGGTACCCATTNNNNATTTGGAAGACCATCTTTTTCAACAGTCTACTTGCTTGGCTCACTCCCAAACCTTGAGAGATGCATCCTGTTTGCGCCACCTATGGGATATCACTCAGTGTTCAACTAATGAGGCCAACCACTCAGAGGCTATCAGATTTTGAAATCAAAATAACCTTTCCACTTGGCCGCATTTAATGTCCGCACACCACCAAATCGGTCAACAAGCTGCCTTAGCTAAAACCCTTGGAACTTTCAATTTAGATGTATGCTGTCTCCGAAACACACAAGACCCTACTTCAATCATCTTGCGTTCTCCAGATCCAACCTCATCCTCACGCTTCACTCTCCGTGTGTCAAGCGATTCGGTATCTGAAGCTCGCAGTGTTGTTGGTGTTCGGATTGCCCTGAGTGTCAAGGCTGATTGTTCACTTCTCGATTGAATCCCAACTTTGCGCCGTACGTCTGGATGGTTCAGTACGGGTCAACAGCTACAGGACGAAGCGTCGATGCTTATTCGTCGTATCCGCGTATGCACAGACAGATTGCAGTTCACCAGAAATAAAGGATGAGTTTTTCAAGGACCTCTCTCAACTGCTCCAAAGTGCTCGGTCAGCGGACATTGTAGTAGTCGCTGGAGACTTCAATGCTCAAGTGAGATCCCTGGACGAATCAGAGAGGCTACTTGGTGGTTAACATGCAATCCCATCCAATAGGACTGACAACGGAGAGCGCCCACTCCAACTTTGTGCTGACCACGGACTGTTTCTGTCAAACAAACTTCTCGTACAAAAAACGGCACCGCCTCACAAGGAGACCGCCAACTTCTTCACAGCGATGGACTCAAATCGACTAAATCGTCATCAGCCACCGCTGGCGAGGATCGATTGAAGAATGCCGCCCCCACTGGTCAACACCCGTGGACACGGACCATGCTCTGCTACAGCGAGATTCTCCCTACGCCTACTAAAAAACCGCAGAAGAGCCCCCGAAAACAGATGCCCAAGAGACAATGTCAGCAATGGTTGCAAATCGGCCTTCGAAGCAAAACTATCAGATCACCTCTCAGCTCAACCATCAGCCCTATTCTCGTGCGAGGATAGTAGCATCGATTTACTCCCAGGTGGCAGGCTGTCTGATCTAGAGCATGCAGACGAAATTGTGCAACTAAGTGGAGATCCAGGTAAGTTACAAGCTTTTCTGGAAAGTTTGAGTGCCAGCGTGTTCATGTCTGGTATGCGTTTTGCACCTTCGAAGTGCAAAATGTTATTACAAGACTGGGTCGGTCCAGCACCGAGCCTCACTCTAACTGGAGAAGTAATAGAGCAGGTGGATGCGTTTTGTTATTTAGGCAGCTACATCTCACCCGGTGGACGCATCATGGACGAAGTGTCAGCTCGCATACAGATGGCTCGGTTGGCATTTGCCAACTTGAGACATCTGTGGCGCCGTCGCGACATCCGGC